AACTCCCCAGTCCCTGTTGTCTACCACAGCCTCCCCAGGTACTCAGATCCTCTGAGCAGAGCCCATAGTCCAGGATGAAAGCTCAGCTCCTGGGGGCACTGGTCCTGAGTGCCCTGGGGCAGCTACTTGAGCAGAGAGCTGAGCTGGGCTGGGATTGCACAGAGTACACCAGGGCCAAGCACGGCAGGGCAGGGTAGATTGGGAGGGGTGTGCGCGCGAATGTGTGTGCACACGTGATCATGATCATTACTACTGTGTATGTGTGGGTGTGTGCATGTGAGTGTGTGCACACAACACTTCTCTCTGCAGTGCCTGGGAGGGGGAGCAGACTGCCACACTGTCTAAATATCAGCCAGTGCAGTGAGGCCTATAGATCCTGGAACAGGACAGTGCATCCAAGCTGTGTCCCTAGTCCTGTAACAGCACAGCAGTCTCGTTGCAGGTTGAGTCCTGGGTGCCAAGTTGGGGAGCCTTTCCCTTGTGTTCCTGCAAGATGGACAGGCAGACCAATGGGGCACAATGGAGAACAGGGCAGGACACCTGGGGTCCATTTTATCTCCCAGAGATAATGACCCACTGGTCACTCTTGACCCTTCCCTGGATTTAATCCCTGGCTGGATCAAGTGATCTAACAGGACTGAGTGTGGGGTGGCAGCTGCTGGCTCTGCTGCTCACACAGGCAGGCGGGTCCCGCAGTGCTGGTTTTTGTGCAGGCTCTCATGGGTTTTCATTCACTGTGTGTCTCTCTGACACAGTAATACCGGGCTGTGTCTGCAGGCTGGACCCCAGTCAGGTGCAGATGCACTTGGCTGCTGGAGACATCTCTGCTGAAGCTGAGGCGGCTTCGGAGAGCACTGTTATAGTAGATGCCTCCCCCACTGGATATAGCTCCAACCCACTCCAGCCTTTTCACTGCTGCCTGCCGAATCCAGTTCATATCGGAGCTAGTGAGAGAGACTCCGGACACGGTGCAGGTCAGGCTGAGGGTCTGTCCAGGCGTCACCACCACAGGGACAGACTCCTTCAGTGTGACCTGGGACAGGACTCCTAATGGAGAAATGAACAGGGTATTAACTAACGGACCCACTCTCCCTGCATCTGCATCCCTCTGACCCCCATGGCAGTACACTCTTACCCACGGTGACTGTCAGTAGGGACAGCAGAGCCAGTGCTGGTTTCATGGTCATTCTGGCAATGCCCAGCAGACAGGAGGGAGCAGGTCTGGGGAGACACTGAAGCACTCAGCCAGATCTGGTGTTTAATGAGGAACCTTCCAGGCTTCAGGAAGGAGACGGAGTCACATGATTTGCATGTACTTGTTTTATAAAGGGCTTTTTGTAGGACTTACTGAACACAACACAGATCTGTGTAGTAACTAACAGGGGTTTGAGTGCCTAGGGGTTTAGGAACCTGGGGAACCAGATAAAGACCCAGAGGAGTTTTGGAATGTGCCTATAAGCTAGATATTGTCAAGGCAAATGCCTTCAAGGCTCTAGGCCTTCCCTTCCCTAGCGGGGAACAACCTAGTGGCTGTGTTAGCTCAGGAGCCCCCGGAAAGGGATTTGGATGTGGTCCCAAGTGGGTGTAAGAGGTCCTAGGGTGGAAGGTCACAGGACGTGGTGACCCCATCAGCCAGGGCCAGGCAGGCTGGGGTAGAGAAGGGATCAGGCAGGCTGGACAGTGGGAATGTTGCCCAGTGGGGACTGACACAAGGTGAGAAGGGAGAGAGTGGAAAAACTACTACTATAGGGACCGTGACCACAGGGAGAGGGGAGTTCAAGAGGAGTGGTTGCTCCTCAAGGGAGCGATCCTCAATGCACAAACTAAGTCTATTCCATCTCGGAGGAAAGGCAGCAAGAGGGCACAGCAGCCCCCCTGGCTCTCCAGGGACCTAGCAGATCTCCTGAGGCTAAAAAGAAAGGCCTACTTTAGTTTTCCAGAAATGCTTGCACAGTTTGGAGGGGGAAAAGAAACCATTTTCTGAGTGGATACCAGCACTGCTGTAACTATCAGTAGTAGATTCATGGCAGAACATGCTCAGATTCCCAGCAACACTGAAACCAACCACAATTTTTTCTTTGAGGTTTGAGATGGTTTGGACTATTATTCTTCTGAAGAGTAGAAAATAGGAGGATACTTTTAACCTATTAAATAGGTACTTTGCGTCAGTCTTTCATCAGTCCCATGGGACGCCCATGCCCGCTACAGGGCCGGGAAGTCCGGGTGAGGGTGATCCCCTGCCCTCCCTTAATGCTGACTTTGTGAAGGAACATCTTGAGAAGCTGGATACCTTCAAGTCAGCCGGCCCTGACAATCTTCACCCCAGGGTACTCAAGGAGCTGGCGAGCATCATAGCCCGGCCTCTAGCACGGATCTTTGAAAACTCTTGGCGCTCTGGTGTAGTGCCCGAAGACTGGAAGAAGGCCAATGTGGTGCCTATCTTCAAGAAAGGGAGGAAAGTGGATCCGGCTAACTATAGGCCCATCAGCCTGACTTCTATCCCGGGGAAGATCTTAGAAAAGTTTATTAAAGAGGCCATCCTTAATGGACTGGCCGACGCCAACATCTTAAGGGATAGCCAGCACGGGTTTGTTGCGGGTAGGTCTTGCTTGACCAATCTCATTTCCTTCTACGACCAGGTGACCTATCACCTGGACAAGGGAGAAGAGATTGATGTCATATATCTTGACTTCAAAAAAGCCTTCGATCTGGTGTCCCATGATCGCCTCTTGGAGAAACTGGCCAATTGTCGCCTTGGGTCCTCCACGATCCGCTGGCTGGAAAATTGGCTCCGGGGTCGGACCCAGAGGGTAGTAATCGATGGAAGTCACTCATCGTGGTGTCCTGTGACCAGTGGGGTCCCCCAAGGCTCTGTCCTTGGACCCATACTGTTCAACATCTTCATTAATGATGTGGACACTGGAGTCAGAAGCGATCAGAACTGGCCAAGTTCGCCGATGACACCAAACTTTGGGGCAAAGCATCCACACCAGAAGACAGGCAGGTTATCCAGGCTGACCTGGACAGG